GGTGTACAACAGGCTCTCTGGAGGCGGTTTGTAACTGTGGTCACAAAAATCAATGTTCTGGGAGAACAGGAAGCAGCTCCATTTTTTTGAGGGCCCTTTACACAGCTCAAGGTCTGGGTCCCAGGGTCCACCTTCATGTTCCACCAATGAGTTTGTTCACAGGTAGTGGAGTGTGTCTGTGGGGGATGTCCTGATGTGTGAAAGGAATGCATTGTGTGAATCTGTGTTTGTATGTGTAAGGGCTGCAAGATGAGTTTGTGTATGTATGGGATGCAGTGTGTGCGTCTGTAAGGGATGCATTGAGTGTGTGTAAGGGGTGCATTGTGTGTTGCTGTGTGTAAGGGATGCATTGCTTGTGTACGTGTGTCTGTGTGTAATGCATTGTGTGTTTTTCTGTGTGCAAGGGGTGCATTGTGTGTGATGGATGTCAATCTCTCCCCCTCCCCCCGTCAATTTCCTTCTCCCCCCCTCTCCCTCCAATTTCCTTCTTCTCCCCCTCCCTCTCCAATTTCCTTCTTCTCCCCCTCCCTCTCCAATTTACTTCTTCCCCCTCCAATTTCCTTCTTTTCCCCCCTTCAATTTCCTTCTTCTCCCCCTCCCTCTCATTTCCTTCTCCCCCTCTCCAATTTCCTTCCTTCTCCCCTCCAATTTCTTTCCTCTCCCCCATCCCTCAAATTTCCTTCCTCTCCCCCCGTCCCTCAAATTTCCCTCCTCTCCCCCGTCCCTCAAATTTTCTTCCTCTCCCCCCGTCCCTCAAATTTCCTTCCTCTCCCTGCCTCAAATTTCCTTCCTCTCCCCCCTCCCTCCCCCTCCCTCAAGAGTTTAATTCCTATCCCCTCAGGTTTCATTCGATTTCCCCTCCCATTTTCATTCCTTTCCCCTCCTGCATTTCGATTTCCTTCCCCTCCATTTCATTCCTTCCCCTCCTTCCATTCGTTTCCCCTCCATTTCGTTTCAGCTTCCCTCCTTTTGTTCGTTTTCCCTCCATTTCATTTCCTTCCCTCCCGTTTCATTCATTTCCCCTCTCCGAACTGCGTTCCTTTCCCCTCCCATTTTCATCCCCCTCATTTTATTTCGATTCCGATTTTTCCTTCCCCATTTCTTCCCCTCCTTCCGTTTTCATTCATCCCCTCCATTTCTTCCCCCTCCGTTTCATTCATTCCCCCTCCCGTTTTTATTTCGTTCCATTCCTCCCCCTCCCGTTTCATTCCTGCTTTCCCCTCCATTTCCTTCCATTTCATTCATTTCCCCCTCCATTTTATTTCATTCCATTCCTCCCCTCCCATTTCATTCCTTTTCCCCTCCATTTCTTTCCCCTTCCATTTCATTCATTCCCCCCCCTCCCATTTTTATTTCATTCCATTCCTCCCCCACCCCCTCCCATTTCATTCCTTCCCACCTCCTCCCTCAAATTTCATTCATCTTCCGGCTCCGGCATCAGTACGGTGCGCGAGGGAGCTGAAGAGGAAGCCCACAGAGAGTGCTCCCTCGCGCGCCCGCCGCCCGGTGTCAGCAGGGCCAGCCTCTGGGGGGCCCTGAGGTTACCGGCTGCTGGGCCCCCCAGGAGAAGAGGCTGGCCCTGTGGGTACATACTGGGTCGCAGGGCCCCCTGCGACCCGGTATGTACCCACTGAATGTGGGGCCCGGACGACCTGAGCAGTCCGGGCCCCCCAGGACCGCCGGGCCCATGACAACCGTTGCGGTTGTCATGCCCTGATGGCGGCCCTGAAGTCACCCTGGAAGAAAATGGAAGCTGCGCATTATAAGACACAAAGGTCTATTTTGCCATAAGTCTGATAGGGGCATCAGGCATAGTTGCACATAACAAGAAAGTGGAGAAATTTGTAATGCACTTTATATAATAATAACCTGTACGTCATTCGGGACAAACATGGACATGAGTAGCCAAATTTATGACGATATGTGAATGAAACAATTAAAAAGGATCAAATATAAACCAATTCTTGTATTTCCTGTGAATTCCTAGGCTTTTCATCTTCTGCATTGAGCTCTGCCCTGACGCTTAACGTTCTTTGACAGCAGTGATTTCTGGGAGTTGTAGTTCAGCTGCCAACCAACAGTGAAAATCAACTGCTAAACCACAACTCCCATAAACCTTTGCTTTGCAGCGTGCAAGACTGCATTATTGAAATAAAAATAGAAAGGTTAGGCCTTGAGCTATTTCATATTAGGAAAAAGTTACTTTTTCACATTTTCTGTTATTTTTTCTTGTGTTGCTTTTTGAATATCATATAATATCATATATATCATTTATTAATATAAATATATTTTTTTTGTTTCAAAATGCACCCAATTTTGTGGTTTTCTCCTACACGGTTTAAATTTTGGCGGAAGTAGTGAGGACTATTTTTAAAACACTTTTTAAAAAAGATTTTTTAAACTCCCCCAAAATTTTCTATTAATGTTTCTACTCCATAAAGGCATCTCATGGTGTCCTTATATTGTGTTGCAGTGTTTTGTGTTCTCATACGCTAGACATACAGTAAAAATAGAGCCAGATTGACCATAATGCAGTACAGGCCGTGGTCTTGGTCTCGAGCTCCGGCTCTGGTTGTGAGATCTCCTTGCTTGGCCCTGTGCTCCTACGTTGAGGGAGTTTTGTGCTCTGCATCTCTATCAGATGAAGATCACTTCAAGAGATGCCTTGCAGTCCCCCAAAACTTCTCAATTACCCAGAGTGCCGCAAGCAGCACATTGAGTCATTGACTAAAACCACGATGCTAAGACCACAATGTAACTCTTAAAGTGACACCAGGTAGAAGTGCGAATCACGTTCCCCCACCTGACCACCGGGGATCCTGCAAAAAATGGCCTCCACTGGATGACCACTTGCTCCTAAAGGTAAGCAGGAGGGGGTCAAAAGAAAAACTTCCCTTTCCCAACACACTTGGACTCTAAGTACACAACACACAGCCACACTCAGACTGTTCTCCACCCATACAAAATGCAGGCTCCTCCACAAACAAAATTCAGCCACCACATACACAACACTCAGATGACATACACTCAGCTTCTCCCCCACACCAACAGCCTCCTTCACACACACAACACTCAGCCACTACACACAGTCTCTAACACACAGAACACTCAATCATTCCCACACGCAGCCACCACACACATACACACACACACACACACACACACACACACCAGTCACAGAACAGCGCTAAGGCCTGTAGAAGGCCCCAATCTAGCCTGCCTAGGGTACTGGGCAACATTATTACAGCTGTGAACGTAAAGATAAAATCTATAAACAAAGTTATTGTGGGTTAATTTACCAAATAGTGAACTGCAGAGAAATAACTAAGATAAATACAACTAAGTTGCAAAATGTAAAGCGGAATTGCACTCTTAGCTAATGCTTTTCAGCCCTATTTTGAGTTCACCTAAACTCACTGTGAATAACATTTTAGTAGATAGATGTTTTAGCTTTTTATCTTAGTTATTACAATTACAAATAAACAAACATATATTAAATACTTACTTCACTATGGCAAAGTCTTTTCTCCGGTAGCCTGTTGGCCTTTTCCATTCTTCAATCATGATCACCGACTGTCTGTTAACCATAAGACCAACAAGGAAAAGAGCCACCGGTGGTACAAACATTATTCCCATGCCGTAAGCCATATTATAGTTTGGTAAGCACGGACAGTTAAATTCCATTGATTTATACATCTTAACACTGGCTAAAGCTAGAAGTCCACAAATTCCATTCATTATTGACTCTGAATTGGACTGAAAATATTGAAAAACCATCTTAAACTTCTCCATGGTTACCGGATTTGGAGCTTATACAAAGTAATTCTCTGAAACGCGTTGGACACTTTCTACTAAGATGTGTCTTGACTTTAATCGATGATCTTTATGTCTATTAAATCTTTCCAGGTCATTCACCAAATTACATTAGATCTAAATCCAATTTTTTAATGTATCGAACAGAGATCAATTATGGATTTGCTGTAAATCGATGGTAAAGATGTGCTTATTTCTATTTTCTTACTGCTGTTACGTAAAGTGTTCTTCTGATTGATGGATTTTGTCTTGCAATTTTCAAAGAAAAATCCTTTTCTACTTCTCTCCTAGCTCAAGCTGTTTCAGAAGGTGAGCATCTGCAGTATTTACTCATCCACTGAGATGCAAACCACATAGACTCGTCCAAGCCTGCGGAAGTAAATGAGCTAGCTAGTCAAATATTGTGGTTTGCTTGTATGACTACATAATATTCCTCTTCAAAAATTATTGTTGTGCTTGTGAACACAGGCTTTACAAAATGTAATATTGATATATATATTTATTTATGGTATCAGCATTATTACAGTTGATCAATTAACTCAAAGAGCGTACAAGTGGGATTTCTTTAGTGAAATATAAATGAAATAAAAATCCTTGGTGAAATTTGTTTTATACTTTCTACAATGATTTCATTTGATGTATTTATTTTGGAACATATCCACAGTGCTGGAAAATGATAATTATTGGCAATCAGAATATCTGTACAAATCATAAAAGAAGGGGCATGCAAGGTAGCACCACCATTACGGTGTGCTATATGTGGATATGGAGCCACCTGGTTAAGTGTCAAACTGTCTTTGACCTATTCTCACAAACTGAGGATCCTACCAGTGCTCACAGGCCAATTCTCGCTGCCCAAGTTTGGACAGCATTCATTGGCTGAGCATGTTAACCAACGCATTTTTCCAATGAATCTGGTCCAAACCCGGGCAAAGTGATATTGCTAATCTATAAGTGCAATGGCCTCAGTAAACAAAATGAACAGTCAGGTGCCAAGCCATTTGAAAATGGTTTGATACATAATCAGAGTTGGCCCCCGGGGCATGCTGACAACAAAACCACTTCAGTGAGCTATAGTGACTATGGAGTTGAGACAAACACTTTAAAGGCATTACTATTTTCTCATTACATCATAAAAGTTTATTTAAATACAGCTTTAACAAACAAAAAATAAATGAAATTTTTTTTACACAAAAATGCATTTTTATAATATAATATCTAATTACATATTATATAACATTATATCTCATCATTACATCAGTCCTTAACCAATACATGGGGAAAAAAAGAATGCCTGATACGTTTTATATATCAGGTCCCTAGCTGCAAACAGGAGTTTACACGTTTTAATGGAATATATGGCGGTTATGTAAAAATGTAATTGTGGACAATGTTCTATAGGTGAAGCAGTCAGTGCAAATGTTCCACTGGTTTCCGTTAGAGATGTGCATGATCCAAAAATTTGCTTCAGTCGGTTCGGAAATTCGGGTAAGAAAAAAAATGTTGCACTTCGGCAATTCGGGACTTCAGCACTTCGGTTCGGCACTTCCGAAACCCTATCCCAACCCTACCTTAACCTAACCCTACCGTACCCTAACCCTATGCTAACCTAAATCTACCCTAGCCTAACCCTACCCTAACCCTAACCTGCTAATAGTCGCAGTGAGTCGTTTTGCCGTGCATGTGCAATAGCATCCTAATGCTTTGCTATGGGAAAACATTAGATAATCAATTTTGAAGATCTCAGGCACGTGGGACTAGGTAAGGCCAGCTGCGGCAAGAAGGGTGCGGCATAAGAGAAAAGGTGCATAAAATCATCTTTAATCTCTGGAGAGAGGAAGGCCAGCAGCTTAATGTTGAATTCCAGCACTTTTGTGCCAGGAATCCATGTTTTTTATTCTGACCTGTAGTGTTCCTTTAAACTATGTATCACTGTTAAGACATTTTTTATTTAACCCCTTAAGCACACATGACATGTGTGACATGCCATGATTCCCTTTTATTCCAGAAGTTTGGTCCTTAAGGGGTTAAAATGTCTGTTTTAAGTGTTGGAGAGGAACTGGGATTTAGAATACTGTACATCAAAGATGACCATTGTTGGATCTACTGATTTCTATTGGTTCACAGTCTTCCTTTTTTGAGCAATGTGGGGAATCATGATGACATCTGCTATACCAAGTTCTAAGCCATTAATGCCTCAAAATGTAACCATTCTTTGTAACCTGCCAACTTAGATATCCTCCTTTTTTAAAAGGTTGTTAAACACTTCCCAGCTAAAGTGGTCAACTGTTTTGTATATAGATTAAGATTGTGACAACGGATCATATGTGTGAACAATTGGTGGTCGACACAAGTACCAATGATCTACATAATCCATCATCTGCCAGGGGGATATGATCTTTTCTTCATCATCATGGCTACATTTGACGTCATAATTTTCACACTCTTCAAAGTAACCATGAATGCATTTCTCAGCCATCCATCGGTTGTGTGCTAGACAGGTCTCTTCAAAATATTGATCCTCCATGTTTGCAAATATGCTCCAATATTGGGTGTGAATGGAGCGGGTGACGTTGAAAAGGGAACTCAGAATACGACTAATGACAGCAAGTATAATAAGCGTCAGGACCATTAAAAAGCCAACACCCTAAAAGAACAAATACAGTAAGGGTAAGTGCCACATAAAATCCTAAAATTATATTAGAATGTTGTGCTTAATTTTAAAACATTAGGTAACTCACTAATTAGTACAATTTTTGATGAACCCAACCAACACATGCCAAATGAATCTAGGTAGTTCTATAGATATTGTGTCCAGTACACTTGCATTCAAATCCATCTCATCATACTCCAGCAAGTCTGTTCTCTATCTCTCAAATATAGAGGATTATGGGAAAATGGATAAAAGAATAAATAAAGGTAGCATGGTTTCAATATAATGCAAAGCCATGTGTTCTTATATGCAAATCCATATTAAAAAATTGCAATCCAGATGGTATTCACTACTTCTATAGTCATCCAATATGTAAAAATATCGGGCCCAAACTTGTCTTGACTTAAAAATCTACTAGTAGTAGTTTTTAATTCAACATGTGTCTAGTTCTGAAATATTATACATAGAGTACTTACCTGTGAAATCGACTTGAGAAACCTGTAAATTGCCTTCCTGGTGGAAGATGTACGAAGCAGCTCGAAGTTCTTACAAGGCACTTTGGCCAACAGTAGCTCTGTGCTTATGGACGAGAAGTTGCCAAAGCCACCAAATTGTTCTGCATCCAAAGTTTCGCTGAAGGCACAAATTACAGACTTTCCATCAAGGAAGCAGGCAATAATCCATAAGACGGGAGCCACCAGGGATCTTATCACCATTGACTTAAACATAAATCTACCAAGATAAAGAATGGGTTAGAAAGCCATCAACTCTTTTGCTAGTAGGTATAGTAATATATTCTTAAAGGAACACTCCAAGTACAATTACAATTTGAGTATGCTGTAGTGGTTATGGTGTCAGAAGTGCCCTGTCACTCCTCCCAATGGTAAGTACGTAGTCAGACAGGTTGCTAATGGCTTGATAACATACCTGGGGTCCACCATGCACCAATCACCTTCTCAATAGAGAACCAGATGCTCTTTGTCCTGAACTAGCCCAGCAGTGCAGGACTGAGCTTACTGACTAAGAGAGATTATCTGTCCCCCTTTAGCTAGTAAGCTGGCCCTGAAGAGCAGGGCATCCTCGAGAGAGCTAACGGAAGCTCTGTGGAAGAGTTACTGACTCTCAATGGAAGAGGTGGCAGATCCCATGTAAGTTGTCAAACTGTTGCAAATGGTTTGACTATTTACTTTTTAGGTAGTGTGCCGCTAAGCATCTACTTTCTACAAATATATTTATAATTAGAAGATGGCATTAACGGTACTAAGAACCTGCCCCACATACAGTCATTCTGAAACATTGGATTTCTGCAACTCTCCCAGAATACCATATGAAATATCTCAAAAACTACACAATTTACCTCTTATTAAGAGCTTCTGTTATCATAAGGTCTCACCCCACTCTCACAGCAGCTCCCCTAACATCCTCTGCTACTTCCAACAGTATACGTCACACTGTTCAATCCAAGTAACAAGTTCTGCCTTGCCAAATCACTGCTAACCGTGTTCGGTCTACCACATCTGTGTTGACATTAAATATCAAACATATTCAGTCTACATATGGCTAGAATGGCTGGTTGTTGTTTTGTGGTTCTTCTAACAACCCGTAAATACTTTTATAGTTACAGTGGTATTGGTTTTGATTTGGCTTGTTTTTTTTAACTACTGTGTTCCTTGATTTGTTCATTTTTATTTAATCAGCAACATTTATTGAAGGTTTGGGCAATGACCATTTTCAGAGAGGTGTTTTCGAGTGTGCTAGAGGTGTGTCGAGTGTGTTAGATTTTAAATTCTAGTTTCTTCTTAGTGACCAGATATTTACTGTATGCTTTTCATATTACTATGTAGTAATTTTTATATGTGCTTTATATTTTTTACTATACTATATATTAATATTTATAACTATGAGATGTTAAGAGTTTAACTAGTACTTGATTGCGTATGAATACAGCATTAGAATCAGCTCCAAATATTACCGTAGAACCTCTTTTTTCTTATTCCGTTTGTTTTGAGGTTTCGAAAGCTCCAGTGACAAAATAAGACAATAATGATTTAAGCTAAATCCTAAAAAGAAAAATATAAATGGGGGAATGAAGATGACAATGAGTCCGTAGGCTAAATTATATCCTGGTAGACACGGGCAGTTAATCTCATACACTTTATAGATGAACATACTCATCGCTGCCATGACAAGACAAAGTATATTCATCTTGCCTTCGGGACGAGTGTAAAGATAATTGATAGCTCGCTCCATGATGACTCTGCAAAATAAAGTGAATGTACAGGTTTTGAACTAAGCACCTTTTGGCAAAATTACAACATTTTATGCATATTTTTTATTTATAATAATTACTGGTTATACGCACATAGGCAAGGTTATTCAGTGAAATGTGAATAGTTGCAAATCCAACCAGGGCTATTCATTAAGGTGTGAAGTGGTATCTTTGAATTTCAGACCAAAATTACCTAACTGGAAACATTCTCTAAATCAGCTATTTTCAGTTTGCCCGTTTTTGTCCTAATATTTGAAAATCAAGTTGAATTTAGCTTGAATACCCAACTAATCACATTTAAAAGGAAAACAAATGAAATCAACTTTACAAACTTTTAGTAGATATACCCACAATGAAAACATGTGTGCATTTAATTATGTATTTTTTCATTGGGGGTATATCTACAGCTTGCAAAAGATGCAGTTCTTTTGTCTAAAGCTTTTGCAAGCCCTCCCCTTCTAACCCCGCCCAGACTTTCTGTGGCTGTCCAATCACAGACTTCCAAATGCAGCTTAATGAGAAGTCTTTGTAAGGCAGGTGCTCTGGGCAATTGCTGCCTCTTGAGTTTTTCTCCACTGAGCTAACCAAACCAGGAAGTAACAGAACTGGCTGTCAGATTCACAGCCAGGGGGTGTAACCTGGTTCATGTATAAAAGTTCCATTGAAATCTGCATTTTTTGTAAAATGAAAAATGAGGACACACTCTTCCCACATAAAGCACATCAGCACACTAAACTGCCATGTGGGTCTGAAATGTCCCTTTACATAGATAACTCTGTGTATGTCTAAATTCATAGATAGTTGGGTATTAGTGACATTTCTGTTACAAATGATCCACACAGTTAAAAAAACCTCTTCTGTTTAATATAATATTTACATAGCTAATTAACACATATTCAGTTTCTTAGCATTCTACTAAACATTCTACTACATATTACAAAGCTTGCTTGTGATATTTTACAAATAGCTTGTAAATAACCAAATATCTTACACCTTTGATATTTTAAAGATAACCTTTTATTTATTTATTTGTTCATTCATTTACGCCTCTTCTGGCCAGTGGCGGATCCAGAGCCTGATCTCGGGAGGGGCACTTGTAGATTATTTAAATAAATAATCCTGGCACAATAACCACTTCAGCTCAGTGTAGTAGTTATGGTGCCAGTAGTGCCAGGATTCCACCCCAGAGTAATTAGTCATACCGTTTAAGAACAGTTTGACAACTTACCTGGGGTCTGCTGGGATATAGGGCATAGGAGCAGTGGTGTGTGTTAGGGGTGAAGTGTGTGTGAAAGGTGCAGTGTGTGTGAGCGGTGAAGTGTGTGTGTGAGTGCGTGAGGGCGGCAGTGTATGTCAGGGTTGCAGTGTGTGTTGGGGGCAGTGTATGCGTGGGGCAGTGTGTCTGTGTGAGGGTGGCACTGTGTGTATGGGGGGCACTGTATGTCTGTGTGGGGCAGTGTGTGTATGGGGAGGGCACTTTATGTATGTGTATGTGTGTTTCTGGGGTGTATGTATGGGGGCAGTGTATGTGTGTTTGGGGGCAGTGTATGTGTGTGGTATGGGGGGCAGTGTGTGGGGCAGTGTATGTGTGTGTTTGGGGGGCATGTGTATGTGTGTGTGTGTGTGTGTGGGGGCAGTGTGTATGTGTGTTTGGGGCTGGTGTGTGTATGTGTGTGTGTGGGGCAGTGTGTGTATAGGGCAGTTATATGTGTGTGTTTGGGGGCACAGTGTATGTGTGTGTATGGGGGCAGTGTTGTGTATGTGTGTGTGGGGGCAGTGTATGTGTGTGCTGTGGGGGGCAGTGTATGTGTGTGTGTTTGGGGGGCAGTGTATGTGTGTGTGGGGGCAGTGTATGTGTGTGTGTGGGGGCAGTGTATGTGTGTTTGGGGGCAGTGTATGTGTGTGTGGGGGGCAGTGTATGTGTGTTTGGGGAGCAGTGTATGTGTGTGTGGGGGGCAGTGTATGTGTGTATAGGGGGCAGTGTATGTGTGTGGGAGAGGAAGGAGGATAGGGAGGCTTTAAAAAAAAATGTATTTAATAAAATAAATAAATTGATGTCCCCTCTCCATTCGTACCTTTATTGAGGAGGAGGGGGGGCATATCTCCGTCCCTGGTGGTCCCAGTGGGATTCCCTGGTGGTTCCAGTGTGGACTGAAGTCTAGCTCGCGCTCCAGGGCTAGACTTCACTCTCGCGTGATGGGGACCCGGAGGAGCTGCAGATTGAGCTACCGGGTCCTCTCTCCCTCCCCTGCCGGCTGTCAGCATTGTGCCTGCGGACCGGGGAGGGAGATCTCTGATCTGATCTCCTCCCCGGTCCGCAGGCACATTGCTGGCAGCAATGCCAGCATTAGCCGGCAGGGGGGAATCTCGGGGGGGGGGGCAATTGCCCCGTTGCCCCCCCCCCCGGATCGGCCAATGCTTCTGGCTCATGCTGTTAAAAGGTACATGAACTGTGCCTCCCAGCTGTATGTAGAATTCATGCACTGCCATAGATGACAGGCTCATTAATTATTGGCGGAATGCCATAGGGCAGTGATGACGCACGTTTGGCACATGTCCCATTATGGTCAAAGTCTTTATATTTCAAAATGTGCATATAGTGAAATACATCTACAGGATTCTTGAATAATAATCATAACAACAAGATAAGATTTAGTGAGAATCATCAAATCATGGTTTTATTAATATATATTTAAATAGATTTGCATAAGACTTGGGTTGACAAGACACCCTTTACCATTTTTGTACATCAGCACTCGACACAGCACTGTAAACTTCTGTCTTCAATTTTTATTAAATATAAATAACTGTAATAAAATTTTTTGCCACTACAAGGGATGCCCTGATGAATTAATTACCTGATTTTGCCTGTCAGTACCATTAAAGGGACACTCCAGGTACCCAGACCACTTCTGCCCATTAAACAACGCTGGACGTCCTCACGTTATGTGAGGACCTCCAGCACTACCACGGAAGTAGCCTGGTGGGAGCCTGGTTGCTGGAGGGGGAGACCGACTGGACCTCCAGCATTGCCGAAATCCCCATAGGAAAGCATTTAATAATGCATTCCTATGGGGAGGTCTAATGCACGTGCCCGGCCATTGCAGCGCATGCGCATTACGTCTCCCCCTCCGGCTGACATCAGTGGGGGAGGAGAGTAGGCAGAGCCTGACCCAGCGCAGAGGGACATCGGTCTGGGTGCCAACTCCCACCACCCTTAGCCCTGCAAGTGTAATTATTGCAGTTTTTATAACGTCGGTGGGGGAGAAGAATAGGTGGAGCCTGACCCAGAGCCGAGGGACATCGTGATGAATTCAGGTAAGTCAGTGAAGGGATTTTAACCCCTTCAGCAACATGGGATGGGGGGTGGGAGGGAGAGGGGCACTGCAGGCTTCTGCAGTGCCAGGAAAACGAATATGTTTTCCTGGTACTGGAGAGTCCCTTTAATGATCTTTCACTGATCATATGGAAAGCATGTCTAGAAAAATATTCATAAGGTGTCAAGTTGTGTAAATCCTGCTCTGAAAATGTAATGGGAGCAAAAAAAGTCAGCCAAAAATGTAAAGCGTCAGTCTAGACACCATATCTACTTCAACTCATTGTGGTGGTTATGGTGCCAGAGCTCCCAGGCGCCATCTCCCATATTACTGTGTTTACTGGCATTTACATTTTTAACAAACATTCCATATATACAGGGAGTGCAGAATTATTAGGCAAATGAGTATTTTGACCACATCATCCTCTTTATGCATGTTGTCTTACTCCAAGCTGTATAGGCTCGAAAGCCTACTACCAATTAAGCATATTAGGTGATGTGCATCTCTGTAATGAGAAGGGGTGTGGTCTAATGACATCAACACCCTATATCAGGTGTGCATAATTATTAGGCAACTTCCTTTCCTTTGGCAAAATGGGTCAAAAGAAGGACTTGACAGGCTCAGAAAAGTCAAAAATAGTGAGATATCTTGCAGAGGGATGCAGCACTCTTAAAATTGCAAAGCTTCTGAAGCGTGATCATCGAACAATCAAGCGTTTCATTCAAAATAGTCAACAGGGTCGCAAGAAGCGTGTGGAAAAACCAAGGCGCAAAATAACTGCCCATGAACTGAGAAAAGTCAAGCGTGCAGCTGCCACGATGCCACTTGCCACCAGTTTGGCCATATTTCAGAGCTGCAACATCACTGGAGTGCCCAAAAGCACAAGGTGTGCAATACTCAGAGACATGGCCAAGGTAAGAAAGGCTGAAAGACGACCACCACTGAACAAGACACACAAGCTGAAACGTCAAGACTGGGCCAAGAAATATCTCAAGACTGATTTTTCTAAGGTTTTATGGACTGATGAAATGAGAGTGAGTCTTGATGGGCCAGATGGATGGGCCCGTGGCTGGATTGGTAAAGGGCAGAGAGCTCCAGTCCGACTCAGACGCCAGCAAGGTGGAGGTGGAGTACTGGTTTGGGCTGGTATCATCAAAGATGAGCTTGTGGGGCCTTTTCGGGTTGAGGATGGAGTCAAGCTCAACTCCCAGTCCTACTGCCAGTTCCTGGAAGACACCTTCTTCAAGCAGTGGTACAGGAAGAAGTCTGCATCCTTCAAGAAAAACATGATTTTCATGCAGGACAATGCTCCATCACACGCGTCCAAGTACTCCACAGCGTGGCTGGCAAGAAAGGGTATAAAAGAAGAAAATCTAATGACATGGCCTCCTTGTTCACCTGATCTGAACCCCATTGAGAACCTGTGGGCCATCATCAAATGTGAGATTTACAAGGAGGGAAAACAGTACACCTCTCTGAACAGTGTCTGGGAGGCTGTGGTTGCTGCTGCACGCAATGTTGATGGTGAACAGATCAAAACACTGACAGAATCCATAGATGGCAGGCTTTTGAGTGTCCTTGCAAAGAAAGGTGGCTATATTGGTCACTGATTTGTTTTTGTTTTGTTTTTGAATGTCAGAAATGTATATTTGTGAATGTTGAGATGTTATATTGGTTTCACTGGTAATAATAAATAATTGAAATGGGTATATATTTGTTTTTGTTAAGTTGCCTAATAATTATGCACAGTAATAGTCACCTGCACACACAGATATCCCCCTAACATAGCTAAAACTAAAAACAAACTAAAAACTACTTCCAAAAATATTCAGCTTTGATATTAATGAGTTTTTTGGGTTCATTGAGAACATGGTTGTTGTTCAATAATAAAATTAATCCTCAAAAATACAACTTGCCTAATAATTCTGCACTCCCTGTAGTATGTTTTATGTCAGGCAGGTACTGAAAATCAAAATATAACACTACGTCAGTTTAAAATGTAAACATAAACTTACGTATATTTTAAAATGCAATGTAAAGAAACTTAGTACCTCTAATTTGCTGAAATTCAAAATGAATTTGATTCTCCGTTGATTATGCTGATATTTCTGGATGATGTTTCTGTGTCCGAAAAGAATAACAGCATAAGAATTATATGTACGAAATTTCACGGCTGGAAACACTCTGAGCTTTTTTTTTTAGTCATTTGTACAAGGTGTCACTGGTTTCAGAATTCTGGAAAAACTAGTTGTATCACTTTGCAGTGCTGAAAAATTTTTAATGAACTAAAATGTACACTTAGACTTCAAGGTAAAGGATTAAGAGGTTAAGGTAAGCGCGTGAACACCATGAAATAATAATAGTATTTGTACGGCTGGTATTTAATACATTTTTCTATTTTTATTTAATCTGGTGTTTGGATTTCTGTTTTACAAATCTTATACGCACCATCAGGACGTATGCCAAACACAAATTGATAGCCATGCAATTGTCATAAATTATTTAATGTAGTTATATTAACAAAAACATTTTATAGTATTAATTTTTTATGTTGCTTTTTTTTTTAATGAAATGTCAAGTTCTGCAGCACAATAAAAATGATTGTATGTTGGAAAAAAAAATGACATCAAATATAAAATAACATATGCCTAGATACTTACTGGTACAAAGGATTGACAATTCTGTTCTTGGGAGCTTACAATCTAGTGGGAGCTTGGGGTGAGATATACAGAAGGGAAAGAAGTGGTATGGAAGGAAAATCAGTTGCACAGAGGGAATATTCATTGTAAGAAAGTAGATTTTAAATTAAATAACTTTTAGAATCTGTGTAGGAGGTCATGGGGGGTGATATGACGTTTTTTCTTTTTTCACTAAACTGATATAGGAGCTTTTAATATCTGTAATTTTGTGTATTTCTTCATAACCCTTAGAGTAAGAATAAACACTTAATTTACTGAAGCAATTTATTTGAAAGAATAATCTTGTGTCAAAATTAGAAAGGCACATTTTTCAGAATGTACCATTGGGTAATAAATGTAAAAGAAACATATTAAAACCAATGTGGCTTAGTAGAGAAGTAAGACAAGAGATTAAAAATAAGAAAAGGGCATTTAAAGCATTTAAATCTGACAAATCAGATGCATCCTATATAAGATATAAGGAAGCCAATAATGCTTGAAAAAAGGCAATTAAAGTGGCTAAACTAGAAAATAAGAAATGGATAGAAATATTTTACATCAGTTCTAAAAAATTTTTTAAAAAATAAAGTGTAGGTACACTGTAAAAAACAGTGATGGGTCTGTTAGTTAATGAAGGAAAAGGTAGACATTTTAAATAACAATTTTTCTTCAGTATATATTAATGAGGATCCCATGGCAAGAGATATGCAAATGATTGCTGCAAAACACTTGCAGATAACTTGTGTTTGGATGACTCGAGACAAGGTGCTACAGCACTTAAAGAAAATTAATGTAAATAATTACTGGACCCCTTAGGGCCTTTGTCAGGCTTGACAAAGGCCCTAAGGGGTCGAAACGTTGTTTGGTGCTTGGGTCCAATAAAAATGGCCTAATCGGTGGAACACCTTGGAGTGCCTGGATTTCTTTTCTATATTTATATTTGACATTTGGTCCCTTTGGTACTGGGGCTTATCCAGTTCATTGCACCCAGGATTCCAGGACAAGGGATAGAGTGCATTTTCCAATACCTATATTTGGATATCAGGGCTATACATAGGACACGAGGTCACACATTTAGGCTTGAAGAAAGGAGATTTCATCTAAGGCAAAGAAAAGGTTTTTTTTACAGTTAGAGCAATAAGGATATGGAATTTTCTACCTGAAGAGGTGGTTTTGTCAGAGTCCATACAGATGTTTAAACAGCAACTAGATAAATATTTACAAAAACATAACATACAGGGATATCATTTCTAATTAGTGGGGTAATAGCTGCTTGATCCAAGGAGATATCAAACTGCTATTTTGGGGGTCAAGAAGGATTTTTTTCCTAGTTTGTTGCAAAATTGGAAGCGCTTCAGACAGTGGTTTTTTTTTTGCCTTCTTTTGGATCAACAGCAAAAACACATGTGAGGAAGGCTGAACTTGATGGACGCAAGTCTCTTTTCAGCTATGTAACTATGTAACTATGTAAAATGTAAATATGCTATATTTCATTTCTACCAGTAGGGGGCATCAGAGTGTTGCTGTTTACATTTCTGGTTGCATTGCTGTTACAGGAATAATTTCAATGAACTAGCCATGAGGAATATTAAAAAATATGAATGCAATATAACTTATCACACAGATACTACATATAGCAATTAAAAAATAAGAACATCACCAAAGCTGCTACTGAAATTGATAAATTGAAAGGAAAAACATTGAGCTAAATCCTTAATAAATGTACATACTTCAAAGGATTCACACATCAAAGCATTTAGATATAAAATATTAATATTATTTCGAAAGCACTAACATATTCTGCAGCGCTGTACAATAGCTGGGCGAGTGTAATTACAAGATGAATGGATGGGTGAAGATGAAGGTTGTGAATCTAACAAAATGTAAACAGTTGAAAGCAAAATGAGTCATCGCAGGGAAGAAAGAACACAAAAATAAATAAATAATTTTTAAAAAAATAAATAAAATCCTGCTTCTCTGTCAGTGGAAGATTTAACATCTTTATGCATTTTCCCATTACGATGCTGAGTATGAATATAATTAGATGTGAAAAAAATGAATGTAAAACGCATCCTTTGAGCAATCACGCGTTGTTGGAAATTCCGACTGGCAACATCTTTTGAACGCAGCCGTATCACCGGCATTGTCACAGTTTGTTTAAAAAAAAAAACATACATATTACATTATCTGCTATTGCAGTTTGTACATTACAGAATGCAGAGTGCAAAGTGCCAGTCTGCTGGATGTACATGTCTTGCACTGCCTGGGATTGGTGGCCCCAACATTTCTTAATGGGAACATTTAATTGCAGGGCAGGGACAGAACAATATATGACTCCTATCAATCTCAGGCAGCGCGGGGCATTATTATTATCATTGCCATTTATATAGCGCCAACAGATTCCGTAGCGTTTTACAATATTAATCACTGTTGCACTCAGAAGAACCTTTGGCCTCGTGGTTTGTTGTGATTATATTACAAATCGTTGCAATTTATTATGATTATATATTATAATCTGATCAGTTTGTCCGAATTAGATCAGGAGACAAAAATGGATTATGGTTGATTTAAATATAATCACGTTTAAATCTAAAAGTTAAAAAAAAATGAAAGAGAGAAGAACAAATCTGTTTATCTAGTGACGTATGTGGACCAGCTATATAATATGGAATGGCTCACTAAAGATGAAGTGTTAGAACTGTCATAATATAAAGGGCTTTGCTTAAATCTTTGTCAAGAAAGATGAACTAGTAGGAAACATTTTTGGGATTCCAATTTTACCAACCAGAATATTATCTGACGATTAAGATTAAAGTTTCTGCGACGTCCTTCTTTGAAGAGCTGTTTGGGAGCTACACATCAACAGTCAAACCTTTCTCACTTTTTTATTATTTATTAATATTTTATAAAAACATTACAATTTGGGTTTTGGTTTTTGTATGTTGATCTAAGGTTTGTTCTTGCACCATTGATTAATAAATATTTTACAAAAAAATAGGGCACCTCCAATTTATCAGTATAAAAATGGGTGCTCAGCTAATTAGGGGAGAATGAAAACACATGTGTTAATAAATGTGTTAGTACGACTTTGGAAAGTAAGCTTTTAAAGAAAAAAGTAACAAAGCCTTAACAACAAATCCATGGCCTCCGCTCAGGGCCGGACTGGGGATACGAAGCAGCCCTGGAAAAAAATCTATGCCAGCCCCATAAGTCATTGTGCTATGTAGGAGGGTGTGTATATATATATATATATATATATATATATATATATATATATAGATATAGATATAGGCAATTGAAATAGTTGGCTGCACTCTCGGATTTCCTGAAAATGTAACTTTTATTGAAATATTTAAGAGAAGATCAATGTTTCAGTCCCTCTTGTGGACTTTCGTCAGGATCATGACAAAAGTCCACAAGAGGGACTGAAACGTTGATCTTCTCTTAAATATTTCAATAAAAGTTACATTTTCAGGAAATCCGAGAGTGCAGCCAACTATTTCAATTGCCTATATATATATATATATAGGCAATTGAAATAGTTGGCTGCACACTCATGCTTACTACAGACAAGCTCACTGTACACACATGCTCACCACAGACAGGCTCCGACACACCCATGCTCCTTACAGACAAGCTCACTAACACACACACACATATGATCCCTACAGACAAGCTCACTGACACACATACAAGCTCACTCACTAGCAGGCACACACACACACACACACAGGCTCCCTCACTAGCAGATGTGCGCACACACACACACACAGAGGTAGACAGTCACTGACACCCAGGCAGACAGCCACACACACCCAGGCAGACAGTCACTGACACCCAGGCAGACAGCCACACACACACAGGCAGACCAGGCAGACAGCCACACACACACAGGCAGACAGTCATTGACACCGAGGCAAACACCCACACATACAAAGACAGGCAGACAGCCACACACTCACACACAGGCAGACAGTCACACAGACAGTCACACACTCACAGACAGTCACACACTCACACAGGGACAGTCACACACTCACACAGGGACAGTCACACAGAGACAGTCACACACTCACAGTCACACACTCACACAGTCACACACTCACACAGTCACACACTCACAGGCAGTCACACAGAGACAGTCACACACACACAGAGACAGTCACACACTCACAGGCAGTCACACAGAGACAGTCACAGACACACACTCACACAGAGACAGTCACACACTCACAGGCAGTCACACAGAGACAGTCACACACTCACACAGAGACAGTCACACACTCACACAGAGACAGTCACACACTCACAGGCAGACACACAGAGACAGTCACACACTCACACAGAGACAGTCACACACTCACACAGAGACAGTCACACACTCACAGGCAGGCACACAGAGACAGTCACACACTCACACAGAGACAGTCACACACTCACAGGCAGACACACAGAGACAGTCACACACTCACACAGAGACAGTCACACACTCACATAGAGACAGTCA